CACGGCTCTCAAAGGGGAGGCAGCCAAGACGCTGTCCTCTCCTCGGTGGTCTTGCGGTTTAAGTGGTTTTCTGCTCCAATGGACAGCTTCTAAGGCTCCCACTTCTGGGGATCTCACTGCCCCTGTGCCAGGAGCAGGGAACTACATGACTGTAGATTGTACACAAGGAGGACATCATCCCTCAGTCTTTGCCTGTTAAGATGCAGGCTGGAATTTCTGAAAGGTCCCTGTGCTCAGCAGGTCCCTGCCACCACAGCGTGTGCCACGATTATGAAAGGATGCTCACACCACCTCAGGCTGTGCATCGAGCATACAGTCAGAATACAGGGATGGTTTAATTTTGGTTTACTGCAGTGGGGGGACAAGGAAACTACCCCCCATCTTGTCTTCTTGGAAAAGTTCCAGCAGGTTTTGTATCAGACGTAAGTCTGCCAATTTGGAAAAAAATTGTGACTGGTGCTACCAAGTCAGAATTGAGATAACAGACCACAGATTGGATGGAAAGAGGCCATTTCTTGAGATGTGTATTACTTGTCGGTGGGAGAGAATGCAGATCTAGGCTTTCCTGTGTTTTCATTACAGTCCCTCAGGGAATGGAAGTTGGAACAGTTCCTGCTGTGTATAAAAGAAAGCGAAGGAGAACAATGACTCTGTTGCACGTTAGGGAAGTTGTGGGATTGCCTCTGTTCTATTAATAGAGCTAGTACGGCTGGGACCTCTGAGGACCAGGGTCACACCACCATCTTCATATTCTCCTGCAACATATCAGTAAGTTTCCAGAGCTGCAGCTCTATTAAGCTGTGTCATTCTGCACACGATGCTGAGACGTACTGTGCAGTGTTCAGAACAGGGGTAATATTTTCTGAAGAAATTTTTTTACAATGAGGGTGGTGAAACACTGGCACAGGCTGCCCAGAGAGGCAGTAGAAGCCCCATCCCTGGAAACACTCAAGGTCAGGTTGGACGGGGCTCTGAGCAACCTGATGTAGCTAAAGATGTCCCTGCTCCCTGCAGGGGGGTTGGACTAGATGGCCTTTAAAGGTCCCTTCCAGCCCAAACTATTCTGTGATTCTGTGAAGTGCAGGACTGTCAGTGCGTGTAGGACTTGCATAACAAAGCTAGAAGAGCTTGATGCTATACTGGTACTTGTGCTTACAATTTGCAGAGAGTGGGAAGGTGACCTAAAGCCAGTCTCGAGAGGTGTCCCTAAGTGCTTCTGAGGCATGGGGCTGGCAGCATGAAAACATGAGTCTGTAAGATGGCTACATCAGCTTTTAAAATCCAAGATTGAGATCTACCTTTGTTTTGATTCTCTGTGCCTGGAGCAGCTCACTGAGAATGCCAAGAGAAATTATTTCCGATGAGCCATGCTAACTTTGACACGGAACAGCAGGCTAGAAGTGGAGTAGTACACAAAATAAGATGTGAAAAGGGACTGAAGTTAGGGCTGTGTACTATTAGCTTGTGAAACTATGTGTCGTTACAAGGAAAGAAGAGAAGCTTTACCTCAGATACACTAACTTAAAACATTATTCCCATTCCATAGAGGATAAAGAAACAGTAAGGACATAGAATGTTTTGTAATGGTACAAAAATCTATTAAGAAACAACACTTTGCCTGAACTGGGTGAATAAAGCATTTTTACTGAAGAAAAATATATGTATGAAAAACTTCTGTGAAAGTCTGTAGCATATGAGTAAGATCCTTCCAAGTATAGCTGAGACTGAAATGTCTTCGAAAGAAGAAAACGCAACACAAGCGCGCACGCTGCTTATTCACAGAACGTTTACGTCTTCAATTTTACAAAATAGCCACATTTGCTAAAATGCTTCTCTGAAATGCCCGATTAAAAGACAGTGAACCATAGTATCCCATCAGCAGCAGTTTATCACAGCTATAAATCCGATGTAAATCTAGTTATAACAGGAGTGTGAGACAGTAAAGAACAGCATAAGAGCAGTAAAAGGAGCTTCTAGTTGACAGTGGATACCATATATATTTCAAAATACCAAAATGAAGATAAAAGTTTTAAATTAAATTAAACAGTTCTGTAAATGCATAATAAACACATCGAAGATGGCACACGTGTGCTTTTCTGTTGCCTCCTAGAAGGAATGGAGTGACTTGAGACTGCAGTTTACAGGATTTTCTGTAGGATGGAGTTGGCAACTTCCAGGGACTCGTCTTTCACCAAGACAATATCGTAAGAGTCCATATATTTTTCCAAAAGCTCATCTACCTAATTGCAGAAGGGAAAAAGAGGAAGTCCCACTTAGTTACAGACTGAATTATTGAAAGACTTTTTGTCATTAAAGTATTGCCTGGTCTGTCTACCAAATTCAGGGAATGAGCCACGCCAATCTGTGTTGCTCCTATGAGTGATTCCACAGGATGACAGAGTAGGGGTGGCCTGACATAACTCTGTGCGCAGTCCAGGATCTAATACCTCATGTTTATTCCAGGATCTCACACATAAAGATACTGAAAGAGAAACTACTTCCTCAGCTTCCTAAAAGGCAGAGAGACATAGAAACTCTCCTGAATACAAACGGATGTGCATTACAACTTGGCAAAGGACCAGGTCTGTGTTGCCTCAAAAAAAGAGACACTGCCTAAATTTGTTATTTGGAAGATTGTAATTTTGCTCAATTATCAATCCAGTATTAAAAGGAGGGGGAGGAACCACAGGAATTTAAGAGAATTAATTTCTTTAGCCCCTGAATTTTACTTCTCAACAAAATACCTTTTAGGAAGTAGTTCAGGACAAAAACCAAAGCAATTTACATTTGTCTTTTTGTAGCTTATGGGTTAGGAAAAAAACCTCGAGGCAAGAAATCTGTGAAAAATGTTTGAAATGTCAAATTAAATATGGGCCAAACACTTAGTTTGATATCTGAAGCTTATTGTAATGGCCCTGTTTCTAATGCACAATGTTTCACTCAAAGCTTCCAAGGTTCTATAGGGCTACTTACTTTATCATTGAGATAGCCGATCTTAAGAATGTGCTCAACATTTGCTACTCCATCTGCCATACTCAAGTCTCCTTGAGAATCACCCAGCAGTATGATATTACTGTTGTCTTTTAGTTGTTTGAAGTACTCTGTGTTCTTCAAGGCACCATCATGTTTGTTGTAAACATGAATCAATTCTCCTTTAAATCCTTTTAATATTCCCTATTAAAAGAAACAAACCACGGAAGTTATTTCTAGTACTGTATAGACAGGACAGAATCTAGAATGAAATAGGAGATACTACTGTTGAACTATGTAATCTCTAATGATGAACAAGATAAATTACTGTTAAATAACGTCATGACTGTAATGGCCATGTTAAGACTAGACAGCCAGTGATCCTCCCTGCCTGGAGGAGGAGTAGTGCTGCACCAGGCTGAGCGTGAGGTTCTCCTTGAAGGAAATGAATGGTATTGTAGTCACAGCATGCTGGCAGCGTCTGGACTGTTACCCTCTGCTTGTTTTTTGCCTGGAAGAGTGCCGAGTGTGCAATTCTCATTTTCTATATGGTAGTTTAGATGGCTACATCTGTTGCATCACAATGCGCATCTTGCAGTATATATGAATAGCTGCTAAATACCACGAGCAGTCACGTTTGGTAAGAACGTGTTATTTCATACATACGTTTTCATCAAAATCCATGAAATTGGAAACCACTTTGACATTAGAATGGTAGACCCCGGCCTGGTGGATAACTTCCTCAAGGATGTCCCCAATCCCAGCAGAAAATATGAACACAGGGATATTGTGTTCACTGAGCTTATCGAAGAAGTTCTCATATCCTTCCCTGCAACACACAAATGTAAATACAAATCAAATCTCAAAGAAATCCAAGAAAAGTTTTTAGGAGTTTTTAAGAAGACATTCACATCATTTTTGGAAAAAAAAATTAATTTTCCCTCAGCATTTCACTTTTATTTCTTTCGCCTCACCTTTTCACATTAGCGAAAACCATCGACCTAACACAAGGCATGTAATTTTGGCAAGAAACTCCTGCATCAAGCTGTTTGGTCTTGGTCTGTATAATTTTTTCCCCAAAACCATCTAATCATGTTTTAAAGATTTAAAAATTCCCACTTCCCCCTCCCCAATCACCCCAGAACAAGTAAGCAACTAGTAGAACTCTCTCTCGCTGCTATCAGGCTGTACATCTTTCAATCTTCCTTGCTTAAATGTTTGACTTTCTATAGGGTTATTACCATAAAACAAATTGTATTTTGCTTTTAAATCCTGAAAACATTTATTGTTGCTCTTTCCTGAAGGTGTTTTAGTTTTCAGTACCAAATCAAAACCATGTATAGTATTCCAGGAACAAGATAATATTATCTCTACACACTTTCTCCACGCTGACATTGACTGGTAGAATTTTACGTTTCTAAACAAAATTATTATTATGAAAGTTTTGGAGGGAATTTTAGCCTGTGAGCGAAGATTCAACCCAAGTGGACTTAGGCTTTCAAACAGGCAGAGATGATGTGCTTGTCTGTTTTGCGAAAGATAAGAATTTAGTCAGCAGATAAACAAATGCTTCCACAAATTAAGTTTTAACATCTTGTTTCAGTAGTCTAACGTTTACAGACTACGTTGGAGACCTTTAAAAGAGATGGGAGCCACAGCACATTTCAAGCAAGGATTTTGCTGGCTTTTAAACTTGCCTTTAGCCATAAAGGAAGAACAACATTTAATACAACATATGAAACATATTCCTCAAGTCACTGCATTTTTATCTCAGATAAAACTATTACAGGGAATATTTTTCAAAGGAATAAAGTTAAACTCTACATTCCCCTTACAAAAAAAGAAGCCACCAGTGCAACTTCAAAAGGCTGAAAGCCTACAGAAATGAAGTTTGTAGAGATGGGACTCACAGTTTTTAATTTTTTTTTTTTTTTTTTAAGATCTGTAGTTTATACAATGTGATCATTGTAAGCATTTGGCTACAAGCTATCAATAAAGCAGGGCATGAAAACCTCACTATGTTCTAAGATTATGGTGTCACATCCTCAGGAATGTGTGTGTGTGTGTTTGCTTCCCCTGAAAACGCACAGTAAGAATCTACAGAAAAAGCTCCAAACCGGTATCTTTCATATCAAAAGGAACTTACTTCAGCATAACATCAGATTCCCTCACAATTTCTGCAAACTTATCTTTTTGTAAGCCTTGTTCAATGAGTAGTGCATGGGACTTATTGTACCTAGAATATAAACAAAAAATGGGTGGAAATTGACTTGTAAAGCTTCACTTTTCATTAAATCAAGCGTCCTGTATGGTTAATTCTTGCTCATTCAAGTTAACAGCAAAACAAAAGCAGTTGCTGCACAACAGTCCAAGAGATTAATTCCATTAATGTGTAAGCTAAAAGCTAATTACTGCCATTAATTTGCTTTTAATAACTCATTAAATCTAATCTTAGTACAATTTGAAAATGGGAGGTGTCTCTTACCATTCCACCATGTATGGATATTTTTCTTCAATAGTGAGAGCTGGATCAATTTCAATAGCATAATAGGTTTCTTTCAGCTGCAATAACTGAAGGGGAAAAAAACAACAGATGTTTAATGTATTTTTGTAAAATAACACTTGATATTTGATCTAACCAATCAAATTAACTTCCTTTATTCTAGTTACATTATTGACATAAAATGGAATCTGAAATGCTCTTTGAACAAAGAGCTTGTAAATATATCTAAGAAAAAGTGGATACTACTAAACCAAACTACATGCCACTATCAAGAATACAAGTATTGCTGTTACTGACTGGATGCCTTACAGCCAGTGAGAAGAAAGCTCGGAGAGCTTTAAGGATCTGAAAATATCCCTTGTCTTGTCGTGTTGCGTAATTCAGCACAGTACAGCTAGGGAATAAGAACAGTTATCTGAAAAACAAACCAACAGCTAGCAGGTTTTCCATTTACCTTTTTCCGACATTCCTCTGTGATGAGCTTAGAGTTATCAATGATGTCTGGGGGGGAGTGGAGAAAAAAGTGTTAAACAAGACGTTGTATTTCTTTTACTTCGCTATATGACACTGTAAATGGCACAGAGGACAATGTTTGATGACATACCACTATGTTCCCTCAGAACTTTTCTTACCAGCAACAAGTAAAAGGAACATTTCTTCATAAGCATGAAGATGTATTAACTGTCCTTCCCCTCATCTCTGAAATAAGAGGTTAATTACAAACCTCTTATCTGTTCCTTGAGATTTAACTGTTTCTGAAATCATCCTATGTGTTTTAGGATTCCCACTTCATTATTAAATCTATTTTTTTTAATTGTTCTAAAAGGATTAAAATGTCAAGAATTCCAAGGAGTTTACTATTTGGGTCCTGCAGGCATCAGACTATTCTGAGCTCTTAAAAATAAGTCAAACCTACTGTATCTAGCCAGTAACATCTTACAGTTCAGACCTTAAGTTTTTTAATTGAATGAAAACTTATCTTATTTTAATTCACACAGACTGTTATTAACATACATATATATATATACACACATAACACACATAAACACTCACTATAATACCTTTTCAATAGGATGTACAGGTTAGGTAATAAGGCAATATAAACTCTCATATATTAGGGAATAAGTTGGATAGAAAAGTAAAATTTAGGAAAAACTAAAAGGAGTGAACAAACCAATCCATATTAAAAAAAAAAAAAAAAGTACTCACTATGACAAGTTGGACATCTTTTTCCATTGTAGGAAAATCTACTTAATGTCATATCAAAATCTGTAATAATCTATTTAAGGAAAGAAAAAGCAAAACTTTCTTACAACATGGAGGGACAAAATAAAGAATGGCTAAAAATTCTGAACAATCAACAATAGTTGCAGTTGAGCAGCGTATGTGTCACAGAAATCTCCCTATTTTTTTGAACCGTTGCATCGTAAGCAGAATATCCTATAAGAATAACCTTATTCTGACAAAACTGGTGTTCTAATTCTTTGGTCAGAATATCTCCTGAAATTCCTAAGCTTATATGTTTACATAATTTAGTTTAACTAGTGTCTGGCTGAATTACAGTTCTATCAACAAGGGCTAGTAGAAGAGTTAACAGATATCTAAGTTTTGGAGATTACTTGAAGGCTGGCTTCTATTATAAATATTCTTAGAATTTTTGGCACAGAGCAATAATCACGATTGCTTTAATTCTGAACTGGTTACACCTTCTACTATCTTTACCTGAAGTTTGGCAGCTCCACCTTTGATGAGGCCACAAATAATCTCCTCTACTCTCCCTGGGTCCTTAATATGGACAGTCTTCTTCTGAAATTCTGGCATCTATGAAGAGTAAGAACAAAGACAGAAATATACTTACAAAGGAAAACTTACTAGGTCATACCTGCTACCCATCAGATTGGAAGCTCTGCATCTATAAACAGTTTCACATGACATCAAGACATGATCAGGACAGGAAGGCAAGTTAAGAGTGAGAACAAAGAGAAAATACTCTGGGTGTATTAAATGATGACTGCATACAGTTCTGTTTGCTTTCACTATCTGTTTTCATTTCCTTTTCTAATACCAAACTATTCAATAAGCTGACGTTCACAGAAAAGATAATGTTACCTGTAGGAAATAAGGCAGCTATATAGAAACAGGGCACATGGGATCACCTTGTAGTTCAAGTATGTCACTGGGAAATGGTGAACCTTAAAACTGGCTATTTGTGCAACTAATATGCCCTTAAAGTTTCCACATAGATAAAGATGACAGGCTGATTTTAGACACCCATTGTTTTGTTGAGAATGCTGCATGTGTCAACCAAGCAGTCCATTGCAACAAGGCCGTACAGCAACTCCTGCTCTCTAGCCAGTCCATCAGTCATTTTCCATTACCTATTTTACTGCACACTTTCGAAATAACACATGCTATCACAGCACATATTCCTTTTGAGTCAAGAATATTTCTTGAATATTATGATAAAGGCTGAATTTAGCAAAAAAAGAAAAATAAAAAACCCAAACACAAACCCTCCACCCTGCCCCAAACAACACCCTGCTCCCAAGCCTTTGCTTACTCTAAAAGCTTCTCTTCAACCTTTCAGAACTGGTAAAAGAACTACTCATTGATATAAATTTCCAAATTTAGTATATATTTCCTTCCTTATGTGGACTCTTTCCAAAGAAAAGGTATCATACATTGGCAATCTGTCTACATGGGCATTTATAAGCAGTAAATTTTATTTTCTGTATATAGAACTTCAGAGATGATGAAGTGCTAGGAATTGCAGTTTCCACATTCTGATCATTCAGCTTTCCTTTTCCTATACCTAGCATGTAATCTTTGCTGCAATAAACCAATTTAAAAAAAAAAAGGCAAAAAAAAGGCAGCTTCTATTTCCAGACACATTTCTAGAACCAGAGTTCTCATATTGCCAATTGTTAATGAGTTGCACAGCACTTTCTTCCTGCTCTTGATGTTACCAAGCCTTTTGTTTATCAGTAACAATCGACTTGCAGTCAAATTGCAAGTAGGTTATCATTTACGAAAAATACGACATTGTAAAGTCTTGCAAACACATGTTTTTGTAATGGAAAAGACACTTGTGTGTCAGGGAAAAGAAGGACCTGGAGGTACCTTTAAATATTGGCTCTAGTCCACGCTGCCCTCAGGTAGGAGCAAACGACTACAGCTACATCGTTCTCAGCAGATACTTGTCTAACACATTCTTCAAAACCTCCACTCACATGTTCTCACTTTCCTCAACCATGTATTTTAGTGCTCAACTAGCCTTATGTTCAGAAAAGTTTACTAAATCTCTATTTAACCTTCCTTACTGTAATTTTAGGTCATTCATCCTGAAGGAAAGTATTATCTTTCAGAGGTGCTCACTGGTTATTTTTCCCTTCTTCCTGCATCAAAGAAAAGCAGTTTCTCCAATCTTCTTATGCAGCGCACCGTTTTCTAAACCTCTGACAAATCCTGGTGTTGTCCTGGCCCACCTATTTGAATCACATCGTTCTTGAAACACAGCATCCATAACTGTGGGTATAATCTCTCTGCTCTGCTCTGAAAAGGCCTCAGCTGAAGGGCTACTTTGGCCCATGTCTTCAGATAATATCTTTGCATATACATTTGAATACACTTTATATATATTTGAATATACTTAGCAGTAATACGGTGATCATGATTCAAATTCAGTTGGTAATGACCAAATATACTTCAAAGTCACTCCTAGGCAGAAAAAAGTATTGCACAAAGTGATAAATTTTACATTTAGTCTTGCTGAATTATATCTTTCCTTCCATGTCAGTCCTCCCGTTTTTCAATGTAACAAGTAATTCTAATCCCCAGTCTGCCTACTGCTACTTTCTGGCTGATATCCTCAAAGACACTAATGAGAACAGAAAATAGAAATCCTTCTAGAACCCTAACCATGAGTCTCTGACAATTTTCCAAGTTTTTCCACCTATCCAAAATGTTTCACCTATACCAGAATATACATACTGCCAAAAATTCTTACATCATGACAGGGTATTTACTACTTTCTTTATAAGTCTCGTAAAGAAACAAACTGGATTATTTTCACTTAGTTTGGAAGATATAAGGTTTTCCCTTGCCATCCTATGGCAAAGACATTTTCTGTAAAACTGGTACCTCCTAAACCACGATAGGGGTTATCTATGTGGCTGCAGTGCTACTTTTATCAGCACAGCAAAATCAAAAAAGATACATTAGGATTGGCTTCCAACTATCAGCTACATTGTAGGCTGGGAATCATTAAGAAAGCTAGTGAGCGTAAACAAAAAATAAAATTCCTGAAAATATCTATTAAAGAATTCGCTAATCTTTTGTGAAATACATCTACAAACATTTACAGATATTTATTCACAATTATCAGCAGATCTAGCTTCAGGAACTGAAATATTAACAATCTGCAACTCTTTAAAGGTGTTTTATGGTATTTCTTTTGTATGTTATACAGTGCTGCTACATAAAAAACACTTGTTTGGTAGGTATACAGCATTTTTTTCTCTATAATGAAAGATAAAGCAATTTGACTGTTTTGTAATTTTTTCACTGTAAATTGACTAATTGTCCTGGTTTGGCTGGGACAGAATCACAGCCCAGCCATGCCAAGCAGGGCGTTAGCAATTTCAAGCCAGCCAGGGCAGCTGACCTGAGTTAGCTACAGGTGTAGCCCATCCCGTAATGTCATGGTCAGTATAAAGGGGAAAGGTTTGATGAGGAAAGAGCTCCTGTGAGATTCTTGCTGAGGTTCCTTTTTTGGCTTCCCCTGATGGCTGCCAGTAGACTGTGACAACAGCATATTCATTTGGCTGAGTATATTTCTGTTTGTATTGGTGGTATTTTCATTAAATCTATTGCTCTTTTACCCACGGGTCTGCTCTCCTTTTTCCTGACTCCCCTCACTGGTTGATGGGGGTTCATCAGGTGATAAGAGTAACTGTTATAGTTTAGCCCCAGGTACAGGCTAAATGTAAACACTAATCTAATTCCTTTGCTTTCAGAAGGCAAATTCTTTATGTATTTTTAGACTTGGAATGCAAAAATTAAACAAAGTGAAATCTAAATGCATGCCTTTGTAAGAAATAGTTCAAATGTTATTTAGTGTACTTGGATACTAAGCAACAGAGTTCCTAATATAACTGATTTAAACAGATGTTGGGGAGACAGAGGGATCAGAGGGAGAGACCGTATGAGGAAAGCTGGATTGCTTGCTACTGTTTTATTTCAGACTGAGGCCTTTTGTGAGTTTCTGAAACAACCTGAGGAAAAGCCTCCTTAGTAAACATCATAGTAGATGACATTAAACAAGATATTGCTTAAGACTTTAACTATCATGAAAGCTTCCTGTTTTGGTGTTGTAAACTGATACTCCTACTCAAGAGCGTTGTTCTTATTTTTAACATATCTTCCATTTTAACAGAAGAATTGGAGTCAGTTGAAGAGTATTTTAGTTTGGGGGGTGGGGGATAGTCTTCTGCAGTGAGTATAATGCAAACAATTTGAGTCTCATAGGCACTTCCATAGGCAAACCCAAGTTTTCATTATGGATATGGCATCGGATAGAGCCTCAGATAAATATGGTTAGTTGAAATAGCCACTGTTCCCATTGCTAGTTCCTTGTATTCATATTTGCAACCGAAGGTCAAGTAGCAATTATTTTATTAAGGCTTTATCATTATTATATTAGAATTAAATGGAACTGTCTAATAAGCAGACACCAGCATTCTAGCAAACTGTTGTCTCCTTCAATGCCTCACACTTCTGCTCAGTGTAGCTGTTGGTTTGTTGTTGCCTATTTGCCATTCTTTAGAGTTGAAAGAGACAAGCAGATTCAAGTTGGAAAGAGCTGGTAAGACAGATGAAAGAACCAAGAGTGAAAAAAAAGTGAAGATAAACTTGTATTTCTACTGTTTAAGAAAGTTGTAGGAGACAACTCAGCATACACAGAAGGCCCAAAATCCTGATGCACCAATTGACTGTAAAGAACAGCAATGGAGAAACAGCTGAACAGGAGTCCCCACAGCACCTAACCAAGACAAGAAAGCTTTTCAGAGCAAGGACCTGCTACATAGAGAACTAAAACTATATAAGCAGAGGAAAAGGAATTCATATTTCACTGTGAAATTTGAAAGTACATCATATTGAATCACTTAAGTGCCCCTATTTATTCTGTCATTCTATAAAAGTGTGAGAAGAGTATTGCTTTCTTACCAAGGACATGTATCTGTTACTGAAACAGCTCAGAGGCTGGTATCTCTTTTAAAACACATGTTAAAAGATGACAACTCCTGAAGGTAATTTTGGGTTGGCATACACACTGGCCACAAATACATTTAAGTTTCTAGTCTCTGACTCTTTTAAGGAGCCTTCAGAGAGAAGCAAGGAGAACAGAACTGAAGAAAAGTATTTTAAAGGTTGAGCTTAATTGGATTTATGAAAAGGGGGGAAAAAAGATCTGCTTGTTTGTGATAGCAGGTAACTGGAATAAGGATGTAGGAAATTAATTTGTAGCTAACAATGTTATAGTCATACCTTGATGAACGAACAGTAATGGATTCACGCAGGTTTGGAAATCCCCCAGTCCTACAAACCACAGAATGGGTCATTTACAACAAGGATAGTTTGAAAATGACAAGTCTATTTAGCATGTGAGACACGCATCTGTGTAGCTGGGTTAAAAAAAGAGGAAAACTATTTACTGCAAAGACCGTATTGAATTCCAGTTTTGAAATAAAGTTTCTTATAAACAATGGGATAGCAGGAGTGCAAACAGAGCTGCTTTTATGTTGTATCTGTGTGCTGCTTATA